CCTAAGCTGCGTTCTTTCCTGCTCTTCTTGTCTTCAGGTTTAAACTTGAGTGTGGCTAGAAGGCTTGGGCACAAGCTGAAGGGCAAGAACCAAAGGAAATGTGGCCTGTAGCTCACTCTGTTCAACAAGCTAGACCACTGGGTCCAAGACTGACTCAGATTATGGTTGCTTAATTTCTGTTTGTTTTATTTGAATTGTCTATTTTTCAAGAATTAAGAGAAAACTGGTACAAGATGTTTTATCGATGGTACATCACCTCAAAATATATTGCTAAGATGGAAAAGAATTACAAAGGGGCTTGCTGGAAATGTAAAAAAGAAGATGGCACATTTTATCATAGGTGGTGGACCTGCATCAAGACGGACAGACACTGGAAAAACATACATGAAAAAAATTAAGGTATTTAAAAACCTAAATTCCCAATGAACCCAGAGACTATGTTACTGGGAATCCTTCCAGATAACACAGACAGAACCTCACAAGCCATACTTTGATATATGTTGACAGCTGTCAGAATAATATTTGCAATGAAATGGAAGACAGAGGACTGTCCTACAATAGAGATCTGGGAAGAAAAACTTGCTGAGTATGAAACATTGGCAAAATTAACCAATTATATAAACAAAAGACTATTGAATGAATATCAGCAGAAATGGCAAGCTTATTACTTATACTCGGGAATAATTCACTTTTTTCTTTTTAGTTCTGGAATTATTTGAATATCACATTAATGATGATGAAGATATTGATTATAATTTCAATATTTTATTTGGTACTCGATTAGTATTTAAATAATCTGTAAGAATAAAATTCAGATTTAGATAAACAAGACAATATCTAGGTTTTTAGTACAGAAGTCCGCTCAACTGTTAAAGATGTATTCTCTTTTATCGTTAATATATTGTTAATGATAAAAGAGAGAATCTAACCCGAAATTCTGCAGTATTAATGCTTTATTGTTTCTGTATTTGAATTATGTAATACATTTGGTAATATATCTGATTTTACTTGTTGTACGTAACAATTCATAATACCTAACAAACCTGATGAATCTATATATCCCCCCTCCCCTTCTTCCCGTCTGTATCCCACCTTTTTCGCTGTTTTATTAATGATATAACCTACTTTGGATCCCCTTAGGGAGGTAAAGTTGTGAATAAACATACTAAGTTAAGTAAAGGTATTCTTAAAATGCTTTTTTTTTGCTTTGTTTCACATACCTGCGCTGATGTGACTGGCAGTGCCTCTCTTCTTGTGCCTATGTAGTTTGGATTCCTGGAACATTTATAAATCAGTGAAATGCTGTGTAACTACATGGGGAGTGCATTGGTTGTATCACATATAAACATGCCCAGGAATTGTACCCATATGTGAGGAAGTTTATTTATTTATTTGTTATATTTATATCCCGTTCTCCCCGCGGACGGCCTCAGGGCGGCTCACATTTGCCGGCGTAATATAGCCGGTTAGCATAAAACATTTAAAACCAGTTAAAACCAGTTATATGTACTTGGACTGTTGTAAGGACTACCAAGAAGGTTTTGGTACTTTATCACTAACTGCCAACAACAATCCTGTCATCAAAAAATATGACAGGTAGACAAGCACATGCATATAGGAACAAGAGATTAAAATAGCTTAGAGTAGCTAAATTGAATTTTATTTTGTGAAAGACACTGAGGGCTAACTTGACATTATTGGCAGAGGATTTCTATCTGACCTACTGAAAATCACTTGAAATCCATTTGAAACCCTTTCCGCTGTGTGACAAAGTATGTCCTTCATTGTTCAAATAAGTTGTGTGTTTGTGTAGCATTGTTTATTGGATAAATTACCCTGTTTTATATTTAATTGTTCTCATTTTATACTGACCTTTTTTGCATTTCTAATTCTGTGATCTGCTTTCAGTCTCAATGAGAAAGTCAAACTATAAATGAAGTAAATAAATGAAGAAAATAAAGTTTCTGCACAGAATTAAGAGGACTGACAGCAGAAAGTGGTATACAGTTTATGGACATTACTGCCATCAAATCATTTAAAAACTGAATCAAAAAAGTGGATTACAGGTAGGGACATTATATTAAGTTTCCTTCACTTCCTTAATTTTCAGCATTTATATATTCAAGAATTACATTTCCTTCACTTCCTTTAATTTTCAGCATCTAAACTTTCTTGTTTTTACATTTTCTATGAAATCATTTAAAAACAGAACAGAACCAGTGGACTACAGATAGGGACATTATTATATATTCAAGAATTAAATTTCCTTTGCTTCCTTAATTTTCAGCATCTAAACTTTCCTGTTTTTACATTTTCTATTGCTCATTGATATCCATTACACATTGATACCCAACACTAATAGAGAAGTATGTGAAAGGAGACAAAGGTCAGAAAGGTTTGGTGGCTAGACATCGATCTTTTTAAAAAGGAAACATCTGCTTTGTAAACTTGCACTGATTTAATCCAGTTTTTCTATTATGGCTTCCTGCAAATAACCAGGAAATGGTAGCGTAATGCATATTTCAAATTCTTCACTGTGATACTTTACAATGTTTTTCACTGGTTTTTAATATCACACACTGTTTTACAAAAAGAGGCATATATTCAGCATAGCTATCTTTGTATTTTATGCTACAGAACCAAAGTAGGGTTAGTGTTTTATCCACTAAAAATAGCTTATTGTAACATAGGGTTGCCAGGTACCCTCCTTGCTCCAGCAGGGGGATTTGGGGGGTGTTCTGGGCATGGGCGGGGCCAGCTGGTTGGAGGCACATTGGAGCCCCCAAAAGTGGGGGAAACCCCACCCAGACCTGGGGGTTGGCAACCCTATTGTAACACTAGATTAAGATTAAGATACCAGACTTTTAAAAAGTGGTAGCTAGACCAAAGGAAAATGTGGTTTTTATAGGCACAAGACAGAGCCATTAGTTATGGATGTCGAAAGACCAAAAACAAACTTGGGGGGAAAGGAAGACACTTGGTTAAGCTACATTGTCATTTTACTCTATAGTTGCTCTGAAGACCTCAGGGTGGTGCCTCCCTCCTTTTATCCTTACAACCACCCTGTGAGGTTAGGCTGATGGGCCTATCCCCAAGTCACATGACCAAATGGGGATCTGAGTCAGTGCTCCTCAGTCTAGCTTTAACAGTCAGAATAAAGTTCATTCCACTACAAAATCAAAAAGTGCTACTATGAATATAAATCCCTGGTACAAACCTTACCTCTGTTATGAGCCACTTCACAGTGTAGGCAAGTCACTGCCTTTCAATCTCAGCCCCATCCCATCTGTAATATGGGATTAACAATACTGGCCTACATCTGTGTTGCTATTGTAATAATTGTTGGTTAAAAAGATGTGTAACTTTTTCATCACTTAGGAAAAAATCATCATTATTTATTATTAAGGCATTTTTATTTGCCAATTTGAATGCTTTAAAAATAATTAATCTTTCACTCTTAACACTTTAATCCTAATTCTTGGTGTTAAATAACAACTTCAAGAGGTTGCCACTGCCTTCTATATAAATCACTGCCTGCCACTGTATGCCATTTTATTTAGAACAGTGAATGGTGTGTATCATGACACATTAGCATGTCAGTGATAAATTGGCACTTGTGAAAATAGAAGATATTTATAAAATCACATGAAATACAACCCAAAACCTAATTGCTTTACTAAAATAGACAGTGGGAAAGGGAAATGATATTCGCTGTTGCCACAAAAAGGATCTATTTAATAGCTTTTTGTGACTAAAATCCAGGAGAACAGAATTGTAAGCAATACTGTCATGAGGAAAGGCATTAAGAAATAAAGACAAATATGTCATAAAAATAATTTCAGATAATCCCCCATTTAAAGCAGAGTGCTTAATTCTTTGACAAAGATGAAGTGCAAGAAATTTCAATAACTGCATTAGAGACTAGAGACTCTCCAAACTAATCTGTGAACATCTGTATTCGCATTTTCAGAGTTACCATACAATAATTGTGCATTCCCATATATGGAATAGTCTATGAAACATTTAAACTAGCTTTATCTTCACAAAAGAACTGAAGTGCATTTGGAGATTGCTCCTTCTCCCGGAAACAATTTCCATTTATTCCAAGGTGATATCTAAAATAGAATTTAGTCTCACTAAATGGACTGTGTTTGGCTTAACTGTCGAGGAAATGGTCAACTGTGACTTTCCAGTGATCTGTACAATGGCAAGTCTCTGTTTCCACCACAAATGGAAGAATTAACAGGAGCTTAACCAGCTCTTCTCTGGGCCAAGCTATATCACATGCTGGTGTTCTGTAAACAGAACTCCAAATGCATAACTGTGCCCTAAAGAGCAGCCATGACTGCTCTTTATCTGGATTTCAGCTGCAGCATTGTAGTGTGCATGTGTAGAGAAATTAGCATGGTGTAGTAGTTACGGTGTCAGACTAGGATCTGGGAAACCCAGGTTCAGATTCCCCCTCTGGCACAGATGCTCACTGGGTGACCTTGGGCTATTTCACACACACTCATCCTAAACTACCTGATAGGCTCGTTGTGAAGCTAACATGGAGGAAGGGGAATGTAATGTTGTAACTGCTTTGGGTCCCCACTGGGGAGATAAGCAGGATATAAATATCTAATAAGTTAGCTCTCCCTCCTCAAGTTGGTTTCCCAATTGGAAATGTCTCCTAGTAGGCTGATTTAAGTCTCAACAGATGGAAAAGAGACTGGTATTGATATGGTGGCTCTTCGCCTACTGGGGTTTAAAATAGCTCAGAGGGGTTTCCAATCTGTGAAAAGGCACAGATGGAAGATTTAACTTTTAGTTTCCCAGCTTTATGGCGCCAACCCAGATTGCCCTGGGAGCTACTATTTATTAGTCAAATGTTACATCTGGAGTTCCAGTAAAAAATCCAGCATCACATATGACATTTAAAAATGGCTCAAATCTTTAGACCCAGGTATTCTGCTTTAGAGCTCATTGAGTGCCTCATCAACCTTTTGGTTTGGCAAAGCATCCCTAGCAGCTGCAGGCTGCTCTCCATGGTACTGAATAATATGACTTCACTCAATACTACAGCTGGGTGGAATAAGGGGAAGAGTATGTCACAAGTGTCTATTCAGAGTGAAGACTATGCTTCCAGAATTGGCTTTGTTTGCTCTTGTGGCATTAATGCAAAGCTAATGCTGACTGGCAACATAACATTACAAGGTCATCACATTCATATAAACAATTCCAGTGGCTAGGATAACCCACTTGACTAATTAAGAAAGGCAATTTAGTAAGAAAAAATGGCACCAAAAAGAGCAGAGAACAAACTGTAGAACAGGACTGCAAGAAGTGATCATCCACACTATTTAATAGAAGGGGAATGTCCTGCCCTTCCAAATGTACTAGAAAACTGGAAAGGTAAAGCAGTATTTGAAGTTTACATCCGCACCCATAGTTAAAAGTGACCTTAACCCAGATGCCTGTTCCATCTACTATAAAATAATCCAAATATCACAATGTCTGCAAATAAAGTGTGTATGGTGTCTACTGCATTAGGACATCCATGGGCAAGCAAACTCAAACCTGACTGCAGAATAGACTGGCATCCCGGACCAAGACCATCAGTCTCCACTCTACCAACAGTGCTCCCTTCTCCTTTGACTGTGTGCCACTTAATCAAGGCTCAAGCACATTTCGATATATTTATTTATATGAAAAATCAGTTTTAAATCACTCACATATTCAGTTATTATTAACTATGCTAGTGGGAGCACATGTACACAATCTCATAAATAAACACAGAAAACTATTCAGGCCCTTTGGCAGTATCTTTCCATTATGCTAGAAATCACAAAACTGATTACTAGCTGTTTTACAGTATAATTGAAGGGCCTGGTTTCCTTGAGTCCACAATCAAAATTGCAATCAGACTGCCGTACACGCCTTGTTGCCTCACTGCACCGCTTGACAAAATGGATGGGCTAAAACATCTTAAGCCCTGTGTACTTCAACTTTGTGTCTGAGGTTGCAAGCACCTTAAATGACTTCCATCACAGTTAATGAACCTTAATTGCAAAGAGAATTAAAGATTTAAGATGTCTGCAGCTATCAGAAGCTCCTTTGGGTCCTGGGAAGGACATTACCTTGTTTTTTAACCTGTTTGTACCCACAGCTTCCTGGGCAAGACAGTGCTCAACTAGTGCTTTGTGGGCCCTCACCTCCATCCCAGCATGTGAATAAGACTCTCCCTGTATCAATCAGTGCTCTTCTTCTGCTGACAGGTACAAAAGATGAACATACCACAATTATTCCAGTGCTAACTAAAATGCAATTCTTCTTCTGCTGACAGGTACAAAAGATGAGCATGCCACAATTATTCCAGTGCTAACTAAAACGCAATAATGTGGTAAATACTGTGTTGTATTTTTAGATTTAATATCATAGCACTAATTGTTTCTTAGCTGACTCTTCACAGATACACTGATGGACATAGTTTATGAAATCATGGCATAACAATGTGATTCCTGTTGGCTCCAGTAATATATTAAAACCCTGGCTGAAAAAAATTGAGTAAGTCTGCTGGTCTTTATATGGATCGATGACCTACAGATTAGAAAGGGCCTGCTGATTTCTCACACTGCATTACAGACTTCCAGTTTTAAATCACTATTCCAGCCACTACCTGCAACACATGCACTGATAGTTTCAGATGGGTAGCCATATTAATCTGTAGTAGTATATTTGAGTCACAAAAGCTTACCCTGGAAATCTTTGTGGGTCTTTAAAGCAGGCCTTGACAAATTTTCTTTAGCTTAAGGAGCTGGCCCCAAAATTTAGAAGCCAGATACATTTTCTGTCTTCAGGTTTTCATATTTTAATGACCATATTTTTCAAGTGATTGCTACTACAAAGCCTAATCCTAGCCTCTTCACAGTTTCTTGTGACACAAGAGCTGTCACAAGCATAAACACAGGAGTAACACTGATTGTCATCACTACAACAAAAAGCTTACCTCTAATCATAACCTAACCTCTCCCCAGTTTCTTACAATTTCATTACTGAAAGGTTCATTTAATAGGCTATGCAGAAAGCAACTAGTAAAGGAATTAACTTACCATCAAATAAAGGTATAAGGTTAACATAAAGAGAAGCAATGACAACAACTTCATGCACGTGCATTTCTATGTCATACAGAAAACTTACTCTGATGTGAAATGAAAAATAAGCTTCATATTTCCTACAAAGTAAGGATTGCTAAGAGATAGTAAATAAAATAATTGCTGAAAATCATAGGTGCCTCAAAGATATTTCTCGATGGCACAGCAACCTGGTTTAAGGCGCTCCTGGAGTTGAATTTTGTTCAGGTATCATTGAGTAGTTGTTATTGTTTTAAATCACAGGCATTATATAGCTTTCCAAGTATACACAGTCGCCAACTTGAAATTGGTATCAGAGCCAGTTCCAACATAACTTTACACATCTGTGTAGTAATTTGTGCAGTTGTTCTCAGGTTTGTATACATGTTATGTCAATAACATCTATTCAGAATTTCAGCAATTCTAGCAAACATATGCAGGCTGATGATTTGGAGGTACTTACATCTTCTGGTCATAAGTATTATATAAAGAGCTTTTCATTTAAAAGGCACACTGGGCTAATGCTCCTTCCTCATTTAATAATCCAGTCCTGTATTTGAAACTGGGGATGTGTGTGACTTGTACTTTGTAACTTCACCTGACAAAATGACAGTAATATTTAATTTTCAAAATATGAGAGTTTTAAACTGCACACCTGAAGTAACTGGGGATGTGTGTGACTTGTACTTTGTGACTTCACCTGACAAAATGACAGTAATATTAACTTTAATTTTCAAAATATGAGTTTTAAACTGCACACCTGAAGTGAAGTTGGGTACAGATATTATGGTGTCACACACTGGATGTCTAAAATAAAATGTATATATCCAGATCCTTCATTGTTTCTGTAATTTCAGGCTCAAAAACCATGAAAAAATTGCTTTGTGTTAGAAAAGAAGAAGAGTTGGGTTTATACTCCACCCTTCACTCAGAGTCTCAGAGCGGCTTACAACAGCCACTCTGTGAGGTAGATGGGGCTGAGAGAGCTCTGAGAGAACTGCTCTTGAGAGATCAGCTCTGAGAGAACTGTGAATGACCCAGGGTCACCCAGCTGGCTGCACGTGGAGGAGTGGGGAATCAAACCCAGCTCCCCAGATTAGAGCCCACCACTCTTAACCACTACACCAAACTGGCTCTCAAATAAATGGTATGCACTCAAATAAATGGTATGCACAAGTAATTTTAAACCAGGCAATTCCTAGTGAACAGAAATAATTATGAAATGAGCCAGGTGTACAGCAGCAGCATATGGAATCTGTCTTAAGTAATTAGTCATCATTAGCACTAATGTAAACAGCCTGAAATGGCTGTTTTGGACACATCAGTGTGGCATCTACCCCATTTAATGACGTGATTCTGATGCTCTCAATTCATACCAATTAATTCCTTGCTCTACTAGCAGAGCCATTCAAACATAAGGATGTTATTTGTTACTTGTCGAATGTTACGTTATATTGGACATTCTTCAGGCTAACAATTTCAGATTTATTGATTCACACTTAACATATCTTGTTGTTATAGTAACACACGCTCTCCCTTTTTGCCTTCTGCTTCCCCACAGCCAGTTAAACACTTATGCAGCAAATCATGCTTTTGCTATTTTGCCCTCCAAAGCAAGATTAAACTATGGCTTGTGGATAACAAACATGATTAGGATGAAATAATAAACTATGATTTGCTGTTGAAGTGTAGCTTTCAAGTTGTGGGTTAGAAAAAGAAGTGAGCCTGAATACTGGAAGAAAGCTGGCTTGTTCCAGTAGCAACAAACCAAGGCTTGGCAGCACTGCATGTGAATGATGCCATAACAGTTATAGCAGCAATGCAGGAACTTAGCACAAGACTGCACTGCAAGTTTCCTTGGAATGTCCAGGACTCTAGGTGGATCTCACTCCCCCACTTTAGTCCCATCTGACAGTTCTAGAGCCTTGACCACCTTAGGAAGGAATCTGGGGAAAATACGGATGAGAAAAGGTGGTTTTGTCCTGGTCCCTCTTATTGTTGTTCTTTTGACTATTCCCCCCCTCTCTATGAGAGAAGTGAGGTCAGAAAAGGCAGGCTGGCCCATGCCTTCTGTGTGCTGTATGGGGGGGGGCAGGCACACTACATTCTGTCACTCAGGAATCAGCTCCCTTGGGACAATGTGTAATGAGGTTCTCTGAAATGCATAACTGAACTCCGAGCTAACAGAGGGGTTTCCCTATGTTTACCTCCCTTTGGCAAGAATGGCTAGTGGGCCTATGCCACTTCTTTTTCGTGTGCTGCAATTTATGCAAATCTGAGTAACTTATCCAGAGTCATTGACCCTTGAAATACTAAGCCCTGCATATCTTTGATCACAAGCTCCTTCGCCCAAGCAATTTGTTTTGGTTTGGCTCTGTATGACAGGTTGTTCCTCGGGGCCTCATTAACGGCTGAGTGGCATGAAGTATGGGCTGCTGCAGAAATGTCAGAGCTCTCATCAGGCCCGAGGGTGGGGAGGACAGCAGGCAGGAATAGGGAGAGGTCAAGCAAGGCTTGCCTCTTCTAGCTGCTGAGGAGGGAGGAAAGAAGCGCAGAAGATATTTGAGGGAAGAACTGCTGCTCTCATAAGAGTGGAGATATACATTGACGCAGCTCTCTGCCAGACAAACAGGGCCAGTATGGTAGCAAAGGGTGCTAACCTCTTGGTGCTACTCTGAATGACAACCCCGTCTGCAACCAAGAGAAAGCACTTTTCCATCTTGCACCACTGCCTCCACTCCTGGAATCACTGGGAAATTATATGTTCAGATCATCACTCCAGAAAGTTTAAAGAGTTTTCGCATATTCAGTTATATGCTAACAGGCACTAGAAAATGACACATTTCCTACTAACAGCTTTACTATCATGCAAACACTGTCTAGATTCCAAACAGAAAGGGCAGCAC